CCCCAAAACCCCAAAACCCCAAAACCCCAAAACCCCAAAACCCCATTTGCAGTACAAAATTGAAAATTCCAAAACCTCATTCACAGTTCACCTGAAGTCAGTTTCTGTAGTACCAAAATTTATCTTTTGTAAATCCTTCCATTGTTTCCCACCTCTACCTCAAAAAGTGCCTTTACCCTTCTCTTTAGACAGTCGGTCAAAGGTTGACTTGAAATAATTACCTACAGCTTCATATTTAGCCCAGACAGTTACCCTCTGGCATTAAGTGAGCTAAGAGGGACAGCAATTCTGCGTTTCTTCTTCCTCTCCCTCATTTCTTTAGGAGTAGGGATCTTTCTTCCCTTCATAAGTTTTTCCTTCCTCTCTTTTCTTCTCTGGGCCGCGTTCTTATCCCCATCTTTTCTCTTGAACTCAGCAACAGGGGTGATTCTATCAGTGCCTTTCTTTTTAGGGATTCTAGAGTCTAAAGTCTTCTTCCTTTCGGCAGGCTTGCTGGTCTCTCCTAGGATGTTATTGAGAGCATGTGTCTCTTCTTCTTGAGCTTCAGATTCTTCTTCTGGTTCTTCTTTGGTATATCTTGACACTTGAGGCTTATTACGTTTATAAGCTTCTGAACCGGTATCAATAGTAAAGTCTTTATCTTGGAACATCTTTCCAAATCTGGGATCTGATACAAGGTTCTTTGCCATCTCTGCTTTCTCTTTTAATTTCTTAGACTTTCTCATTTGCCTTGCATCTATCTTGAGTACATCATCCATAAATTTAGAGTTGACTTTTGGAAGAGTTCTTTGGAAAACAATCCTGTTTTCTCTGATTTCTTCTAATTTCTTGTTGATTTTCTCCTTTCTGTAGTTATCATAAGCAAATGGGTCATTGATATCTTTGAGTTTAAGATACTGCTTATAGTCCATAAAGAATCCATGCATGTATGGCTTCAACATCTTAGAGCCTATAAGATGAGATGCATTGATCTTCTCGAGCTCATTCTTTGTCAAAAATTTGTAATCTTCATAAGTTGTTGTTGTTTTCTTCTCCTCCATTTCTTCAGTCATGTTTTCAATGTAAGAGCACCACTTGGGAGCAGCACCAAGTGAGGGTAGAAAGTAGGATCCCAGTTTTTCTTCTTCACAGGCAGTAAACACCATTCCTGAGTTTTTATAGAATGCAAAATCATTTACATCCTTCTTTGTCTGAATGTTTGTGTATAGCTTTCCTGTATCTCTTTCATGAATTTTGATAATTTTCTTATCCATTGAGAATAAAGTTCTGGAGGATTCGTGGAAATCAACCTTCTTGATTGGTAGCTTATGCTGATGAACCTTCTCAAAGAGAGGAATAGGGTATCTAATATCAAACAGTTTAACTTTTCCACATTCGTTTCCAATTGCAAGATACATTCCGTCATCTGAAAATTTTAGTGATGTGATCTCGCTCATATCGTAATTTTCAAAAGCTTTATGGTTTTTGATAGGAAGTTCTACTAACTTTTGCCTATCGTCCATGGACCACATCTCGACAACTCCATCTATCCCTCCTGTTGCAATACAGTTGAGGGCTTTGTTGTGTGTAACACAGTTAATTTCTGGAGAATCACTCTCTAAAGGACCCAAAAATCTTCCTTGCTCTAAATTAAGTCTATAGATTTCGTTTCCAGCTCCAACAGTAACTAGGTCGCACGTGGTTGGGAGATAAGCCATGTCTCTTCCAATTTTAGGAGTCCTGATTCTATAGTGTCTTCCGTATTGAGCGTGGAGCTCAATATTTCTATCACCAAGAAGCAGTGCAATTTTGGAATAGTCATCAGACAGGATCTTAACTTTGAGAACTTCAGCATCAATTCCTCTCTCACACTTGACAGACATCTCCTGAGTCTCGAAGATCTTGATTCTTGGGGGATAAGTACCTGCTCCCACAAGATAATAACCATCATTGCTTACTTCTATGTTAGTTGCTCAATTGTTAAACTCGAAATCTGCAATCAGCTCAATAGAGTTGTCATATCCTTTGAGCTTGTTTAATTTAGTCTTCTTTTTCTTTGCCTCTGTAAGATACTGAGCCAAAGTTTTGGCTGTATTGAGATCATAGATCTTAACGCCATTGATTTCAGAAACCTTCATTTTGACACTCCTTTTTAATAATTATTAAAACCCTTTATTTTCAATTATTTCAACTGGGTATTTATCACTCGGGGTTTTGGGGTTTTGGGGTTTTGGGGTTTTGGGGTTTTGGGG